TTTTATTAATTTTGTACTTAAAATATTCTAAAAGAAACATAACAATATTGTTTTATGTACTTTCACTTTTCACGTATAGTATAACTACTCTTTGAGATTAAGTACTGTGTATCTCAAAAACCAGAGCTAATAAAAATTTTTCATTGTTATTTTCGTTTTTATCACCCCAAAATTAGTAGAATAACTAATTTAGTGTAGGAAACATTCAAAAAATATGTTTTTGTTGTGTTGTGAATTAATTTCTACTTTTATTAGATATCAATAAAATTCATTTTCTGAGCGAACATCTTTCAAATTCTGTCCATTACACCCCAAATATCATACCTTTTTGGAATTAGCTCGTTACGTATTATCTAAAACTGATACCAAATACAGGGTGTTGCTTTAAAAAAATTATCGACGACGTCATCACATTAATATGGATCACCCTGTATAAAGAAATTTTGTTGTGAAATGTAGGATATTGGAATTGAAAATCGACGTGTTTCAGGTTTTTGTAAAACGACTTTTCGTTTTGGAAATATCGAATTTATTCCATACTTTGCGGACACACAGTATAGGTTGCATTAAAAAATATTATTTGTAGATTATCTATCAAATTATGTAAAAATATTTCAAAAATGAACTGAATTTGCAACTACGTCACTTTCCCAAGACCCATAATATAATTTATTGAAAAGAATATCGTTTGATCCGACCGATACTGATAAAAATCAATCAAATAAAAAAATCAACTATAATATTCACCATTTTCCATCATCATTACCATTATTGGATTTGTGAAAAAACTCAAGTTAATGATGAATAGTGAAGTATCAACTCACCAGAGGGTGCTGCAGCAGTCCTTCTCTTATTCGGCAGCGTCTTATAATGGTTCATACCTGGAAAAACCCGCACGTCACCGGGCACAATGAACATCCCGCACTCACTCACTCCATCGTCACCGACATAGTCAAACCGCACGTTCCTCGACACCGACTTCTGTCTCCGCAACGCTCCATCCCCCTTCTCGATGACGTCCGTCCCGTCGATAAGGTCCGGGTTCTGCTCCTGGTAGAACTTGAGCTCCTGATCAATAACAACCAGCGACACCCCTTCCTGATTTGCGAGATCCTCACGAAATTTAATTTCTGCGTAATTGGCGCTCCTACTGCTCTCCAGAGACTCGTTAACGCTATCTTTCAAAGAATTATCGGTGCTGTAATTGCCCAAAGCTACCTTGGAATCGTGTCGCTTTTTCCTCATCCGGGAATGCCGACGGCACTTCATCGCCGAGAAAACAGCTGCCATCAGCAGTATCAGCACGGATAAAGAAGTCGCGAAGGTGACTATGAGGATGAATTCATAAGGGACCTCGTCCAGGTCTACTCTAGCTTCTTGTTTTAGCATGACGCGGATGGTGAAGTTGGCGTGTGAGTTTCCAGCGGTGTTCTCTGCATTGCAAATGAAGGTCCCGCTATCTTCGCTATGAGCGTTGTAAAGATGCAGCTCGCTGCGCTTGCTCAAGGATCCTCTTTCCAGGAAGTATAGCAACCTCAGACCAGGGGCTGGGAGAGAGTTGTTCTGCAGCAGCTGACCCTCAAAGTACCAGCTGATCGCTGCCTCAGGAACAGCCTCAACCTGGCACGTGAGTGATATGTTTTTTCCCTGGTCTATTTCCAGGTAGAACGTGGTGGGACTCACCTCTGGCAGACAGGCTAAGACATCGCTAGGTAAGGCCTTGATCTTGCGACCTGCCAAGCCCTTCGGACTGTCACACAGCGGCTCTATGGAAAAGGGGTACATGAACTGCAGCAAAAACGAGTGGAGCTCCAGTAAGTTGCAGTCACACTGCCAGGGATTCTCCTGAAGCTGAATTCCTTTCAAGCTAGCAGGCAAGTGTAAGGAGGCGGGAAATGTCTTCATCCTGTTGCTTTCCAGATATAACCACTCCAGACTGTACAGCCCTTGAAAAGCTTCAGCATCCACCTTCGAGATATCGCAACTGCTCAGCTCCAAAGTGTTCAAAAGTGATAAATAACGGAACGCTCCTTGTTCTAACGCCTTGATGGGATTACTCGTCAACGTCAGCCTCATTAGCGATGGGCATTCCCGGAAAGATCCAGTGGGAACGGAATCCAGGAAGTTACTTGATAAATCCAACTCAACCAAGTTCGTCAATCCTTTGAAAGCTGTCTCGCTTATCACGCTAATCCTGCAACTAGACAGATGTATGCGCTGCAAGTTGATCAAGTCCAGTTGTTGGAATTTCTCGTGATGCAACGTTCTCAAATTGTTGCCCGAGAATTCGAGGACTTGGGTAGTGGAGTCGAGGCCCTCCGGGATTATCAGCAGGTCCTTGTCTACGCATTCTGCGGTCTGCTTGCCGTTCTTCCATCTGCATATGCAGGGAAAGGGGCAGCATTCGACGGAAGCGATCAATAGGGTCAAACTCAGTGTGATCGTGTTATGCATGATGCATTGTATTGCGATGTCAGTCGGTTAGGTTACTTCGTCTTTGATGATGTGCGATGTGGGTTGTTGGCGAGATTTGTTGGGCATTCTAGTGGATTGTCGATCTGAAACAAAAAGAAGTTTCCTGTAATGAACTGATTTGGGAGATTGTTTAAGAGTTATTTACTGACTCCAACATGGCACAGAATGAACTATTTTTGGTGTTTCTTTCAACAAAAAACAAATAACTTGGCAGAGGATTTGAAAATAATGATAAAAATAATATAACTTCATTCACAAATAATAAATACAAATACATATACAAATAAGTAACAACATAGAATGAATAAAGCGATTTTGGGATAAGTGCAAAGCATTTCATCAGTTCGGTGGTGGGATTTCTGGTTCAGATACTGTCCTCATCAATCGACTAATTGAGGAATCATCAAGACTCTACTAGATTGTGTTTTCGAGCTCTGTAATACAAAGGAAGGTCTCGATAAGGAACTAGGCATCATCAAAAACGAACTTCAACGAAATGGTTACTCCAGAGTGATGATAGAACAGGCTTCAGCTAGAAGACAGCAAGAGCTCCACAAGGAAGAGAAACCGCCTCAACCAGTACTTGTACTTCCCTACATCAGAGGATTATCGGAAAGGATAAGAAGGATTGGGTCCAAGTATAACATCAGGACCTGCTTCAGATCTGGGAACACGATCCGTAGCAGCCTCACGAACACCAGGCCAACCAACGCGGAGAAAATTCAAAGAAGCCGCGTATATGTTGTCCAACAACGCATTTAGTCAAGCCAGGGTAGAGATACGTAACATATGGAAACCTCTAATCAGGCGAAAAACGACCAACTCCCGCCAAATGATCATCTCCCGCTAAAACCAATGGAGCGGAGAGAGGGAAGAGGGGATAGGTGAAAGCACTTGAATGACCTATAAATAGTCAGATCTCGGAGGAATAAGTCCAGTTATCACCCGAATACGATTGTGGACACTAAAAATCGAAACGTCGTGACGTAACTTGGTTTGGAATCTCTTGATTTTTATTTTTCATTTTATGTTAATAATATTTTTAATTTATTCAATTCAATTTTTTGGTTGTAGCTTGTATGTTATTTCTCCATAATTTCAGTTTTTTGTTCAATAAAATTGTTATTTTCGGGTAATTTTGTTAATTTTTTTCAGGGTTTCCAAATCAATTTATATTATATTAGACAATGGAAGTCCGAACTGATGAAATACTCCACGAAACATTGTCAACAACCTTCAAACAAAAGTACAAAGCGCTTGTTTCCCATAAACATTGACATATGTATGAATGGTATCATGTACAAAAAACATATGCATGTAACATTCAGAAAAAATGACAAAATTAAAAAAAATTATGAAATGTGAAAATTGTAACAATTTAAGAATGCGCGTGTATACAAATGAATAAGTCAAGCATCATAAAGAATACACAATGCAATAATGATAATAATAATAACATATCAGTTAGCTGTACAAAATACAAAATAAATACACATTTTAAAGGCAGTGGAAAAGTACCCAAATACTTGTCTCGTTATTTTCTTACAGATTCAATATATGTTCATCTATTTTGAACCTTCCAAAAAGTTTCTTGCTTCCGTCAGAGGTTGAGTCTTGTTTGAAGATCATCAGTGTTATTGTTAGATTGACTGGTGTCTCAGATATACTTGTTTCCTTATAACAGTCAGTTACTGTGGCGCATTTTTGACAATACAGTCGGTCATCACCTGTTAAAAATTCCATTTTCAGATGATTCAACAATAAGCTTTGCTCGGACTGGTTACTAGTCGTATTAGGGAAAGCTAGATGAAGTTCCAGAAATTCACATAAGTTTTCACTACCTCTTGAACATTTCCTACAAAGTAAACGAGTGAGGATTCTTTCAGCAAGACGAGATGGACTGTACGGAATCATTCAATCCAGAGCGGTTAGGACTATTGATTTTGCTATTGTTTTGCTCACGAAGAGTATTCAACAAGGACCCCAAGAATTCGGAACAATCTTCTTGTTGTCCTAACGAGCATCTAGTGGACTTCAAAGACTTCAGGAAATCGGTTGGAGGAAAAGATGATACATTCTTACGAAACTGCAGCTGCATGAATAGGTGTTTGAGTTTGATGAATAAGTAGGAAACATTCCCGTTCTCGTTCATCATTAAAACTTCGTTCTTGAAATTCTTCGTCATAAACAACACTTGTAAAATGCTATTCATGTAACAAGTGTTTTCTAAATCATCCAATCCAATTCTCTTCACTAAATTTGCAGGACAACCCTCTACTGATTCGTCAGGAAGAACATGTTCCACAGAATCTCCATAAGAACCATTTCTCAAGCTGCGATCGATCCTTCCAAGTGAAAAAAGGTTTCGTAAAGGAATCGATTCGGCTCTTGCTCCATGCAGCTTTTCCACTGAAAGGGAACCAGAACTACGAGGACTGCAACTCATATTTGGGAAACAAGAATGACCTAAATCCATTAACCGCACTGAAGAAGAAGAAGGTGGTCGAATCACTTGCGAATTAACCTTGATAGGAGACTGATGAATATCTACATATCTGGGCTTGTTTCGGGAAGATTTCAGTTCCGTACTCAAATTAGGGCAATGCATGATCTCATCAAAATTATGTGAAAGAGGAATAGTTCCAAGGACCAAAGCAGCATTGCCATGTTGATTAGCAATACTAATTCTTCCTATCAAAAAAGAGGTAGAACGGTGATCTTTCGTTGCTTAGCATATTCTCCTTCCGAGTTCATGAACCAATAATAGAGACTTCAGGCCATAAACACCAATTGAATTGGATACTTTTTTCACAATGCACATTTTAAAATATCTGTCAAATTTCTATGAAAATTGATATAATTGTATTTTTAAGTATTCAGTATAGATAAACTTTGTCTTCAACACTAAATAATTTGAACAAATTGGTTAATCTCTTTTTCCACCTTACGGGTGGAAAATCCTCCTTTTCTTTCTTGATGCTCATTAACGCTATACAAAAAATCTACCCTGCATATTTCAAGATTTTAGATTCATTCGCTTCGGCTGTATGTAATATCAAAGTGTCAGTTAACCCCACTTATACAATACTAGCCTATAGGAACCTCTACCCTATGTGTTATTCCAGGTCATAATCTATCTATATACCAACTTAGATTTGAACCTAATGAGCTGTTTAGGCGTGAAAAAGTAAAAAACGTTAAAGCATGCATTACATTCATCCATCCTCACAAACTTTACGCATTTATAATATTAGTGGGAGTAGGATCACCAATTTATTTCATTCTAATCCTTTCAGTTTTTTTGGTGATGCTATTCAATATCGTATAAGTGGGTACCTATTGATTTAGTGATACTCTTATATCAACGTACAGCTGAAACTATAGATCCTAGAATCTTGAAATATGCAGGTATGTTCTTTGTATAGCGTAAATAAGCATCAAGAAGAAGAATCTGGAATTTACACCACCAAGGTGGAAAACTAGGGATTCAAAGACTATATTGAATTTCGTCAAGAAAAGCTGAAACTTTGGATCATTCGAAAATATATTTTGACTATTTGATTAGGATGTCTGTAACGAAACTTAAAGTGACAATCAAAATTCTACGCGAACGAAGCCCCAGCAACAGATATCATTTATATAAATGATAATTAGAATGTTTATGTCATCACGTATTAGAAATCACACGTTAAAAGGTAAGACCTCGTTAGTCCTTAGCTCGAACAAGTTTCCCAACTTCTGAGAGTTGTCGTTCTTATGGGGGCGACAGCTGATTAACGGAAAAACAGATTTTAAACATATAAACATATCTTCTGTTCAAATTTCTATATTTAATACAAATGCTAATTAAAAAGTTCAAAATTTTGTTGTACATCAAAAAAAATTTATGAAGAAATGTGTCTCATTTATGTGTATTCTACACGGTTGCCAACACGTCAAAAACTGTTTTTTAACTCGCAGAATTTTGTCTACTAGTCCAAAAAAACTGTATTTTCCAAACTTGTTACGTAAATTACTATTTCAAACGCTATCAACTCAGTGAATTAGTTTCCTCCGTTCACTTAATTCTTCTGCGTTCAATCAGAAATACCTTGAAAGAAAAACAATTAGCGCGAAGTAGGTACATTGCATAAAGTTTTCCGCTTTTCGCTCGGTTAACTGAAACATTTTCGCAGAGGCTAACGTTCCGTGGAAAAGTCCCGAAGAGAAATAATGCTAATTAACACCAGGTATTATGTATACACTTTGAGTTTTGCATTAAATATGGCCAAACGGCACTTCCCCAGCCTTTGTCTTGGGGGCACATGAATTATTCAGGCGATTTTTAAGGCTTACATTGTCTGTATTTACTCTTTCGCTGTTGCTCTTTTCGGGAAATTCAGGAGCGAAATTTCTGCAGAGAATAGAAATTGAACAAAAATTCAATTCGGTGGCTCTTGATTCTATAGTATGCACATCGCAAAATTCCTCTTCCAATCGAGATTTTTCAAATTCATTATTCATGAGTTTTGCGAAGTAGTTTTTCTGTAATATGATATAATCTTCATGAAGAGTTCTTATTGTATTTATTTGTTTCTTTTCTTCGAAAGTTCAATGTTCATTAATGGAGAAATGAAAAGTGAAGAAGATTTTTTCCAGCCTCTCCGGAAAATTAAACCCCTTTCAATGCGATATTTGCGTTTCAGAAACGCTTATTCATAAAGGAGAGTAGGGTATCACAGTATATTCGGGAAATATAGAATACTCAGGATTTAGTTCTGTTCAGTGCTATTTCCTCCCAGTTATATCATGAACTTCAAAAAACTCCCATGATGCTCCAGTGTGACAGTTGACCACCTGTTGCTGCTCGCTTCAGAACTAATTTTGTTTGTACTCCACAGAAAGCACAGGCGAAGACGTAACTTGAAGTTTTGAAAACACAAAAGAGGAAAAAGCTCAAAGACCACCCCCTGCTGAAAAATTAAACTTCAAACTCTCTTATAAACCCAGTACTGAGGCAACTAATCCAACTTGTGATGACTTCAGCAACGATGAATCTTTCCATCCTGATATGTCATCTTCAATGGACTACATGCCACCTGGA